ACAAATTACTTTTGCACAAAAAAACCTTTCCAGACTGCTTTATATTTCCTCTTCCAAAAACATGCTGTTCCATTACAGAGCAAAATTATATTTAACTATCAAATGAAAGTGAAAGCAAGTATTCTAGTAACTTTCACCAACTTGTCCATACCTGTCAACTCCTTGTAATAAAAAGAACTTGACATTTTAGAAGGCATACATGTAATTTTGTGGGTTATCTGCTTCAAGAATCTTTCTTCCATGAAGTCCTTTTGCTCACAGATACAGCACATACTAATGCTCACAAAATAAAGTCAGTTCCTATATTTTAATTCTCAGATGCAGCTCCTAAAAGCAAGAGTCACCACATATGCATAGCATCCAGTTACCTACAGAGAAGCATTACAACCGTGTCTGAGGTTTTCTTTTGGGTATTTCTAATCAAATTCCAAAGCAGCTGAAGGTGAAAATATCCGTCATTTAAACACAAAGTTCACTGACAAACTGGGCCTAAGGTAGGAAGAGTCCCCAACAAATTAAACAGAGAAGAAAGAATTATCTTTCTCATGATTCATCCCTGAACTCAGAGAAGCCTAGTTTACTGTTAAAACTGTGCCTGCTGATAAATTACATTTTTTTTGCCATAGACATACCACCAGACATTATTTCTTGGCAGATAGCTGAGAGCACAAAGAACCAAAATTAGAGGCAACATGAAATACTGACTTGAAAAATAAAAGCATTTGAGGAAGTCTGCAGTCTATTTCAGTTTAAAAGGAAAAACTCAAACTGCCTTTTAGCTTTCATAGGCTTATCAGATAGAACTTGAAGGCTGTGTACAAACAAAAACCAAGTACTAAAATTAAGACTTGTGAACTTCAAAAAGGTTTATAAGAAACAAAATCCCCAATTTAAATGCTTTGTGTTTTCCTACTGCAAAAACAAGTTTGTGACTTGGAAATTATCATAACAGAAATCCCTTTCCTGAGACCACGTTCAAGCTATAATGCTCTACCTATGTGGTTTTTAATACAACTCACCATGGCATTTCAGATGTTTGTGATGGAAACATCCCTGAGGCAAGCAACACGAGCTATTTTGCTTTACACTGAATGCACCTTAACATAATATTCCAGTTTCAGGTCAGCCAGGTCAGAGAAATACTTAGTGCAATCAATCAGCCATTAAAGCATGGTAGTCTTAGGAACAGCTTTGCCAAGCAAGTTAGTGTAAAATAAATAGAAAAACAGTTTTTGTCTATTCCAAGAACCTTTTATGGTCAAGCATATAGAGACAGGATAATTCAGGCATAGAAAAACAAATACAACTTGTGATAGGCTCTCAAAAGTGACTTTCTGCTACTTTCTGAATAAGTTATTTCAGATGATTCAGACAAACATAACCCACCCTTTGGGTGCAGGACTATTAAGTCACTTGCCTTTACAGGCTCAGATCCCTGCCAACAGGAAAAAAATTACCATCATATGAGGCACTTTAGCTAACAAGATCTATGTAGGAACCACGTTACTACAGGCTTGCATCCCACACAATTACCTGAATTATGAAGGGAAGAAAAAGAGAAAAAAAGAATATCTAACACTTGTAAAGAAGTATCAGAAAGTGACAAATTAATAACAAATCTGTAAGAGATACTGGTAATGAAATTTCATTTGCAAAGGAGATGAGGAGCTACAAGGAAGGTCTTAGAAAAGAGGTCTCTGATGAAACAGAAAAATGCAAAGTAAATGGCAAGAAAAAAGGGAATGGACTTGGAAGTCAATGCTAAGAAAATACTTATATAATTATTGGGGATACCAAGCAAACACTGTTGCTCACAATGACCATTTCAACACTGAAAATGTCAGGGGAGTAGGAAATACCGCAATTCCTTTATGTGACTTCCCAGGTTTCAGCTGTTCTAACTGCAATATATTAACAATTTCTCTTCAAACCAGCCCAGAAGGGTTTGCTTATTTGAGGTTTTTAATCAACTCAGTCAGAACACCTAAACCGTTTTCTTTAGAACTTCAGCTTCAGTGACAAAGCTTTTGCACAGCCATAACTTTAGGGATGACAAGACAGGGCGTGCAAAAATGTAACTGTTCAAAAGAAGGCCTATCAGCTGGAAAAGGAAATTACGTTGAAACAAAGTTTTAAGCAGTTTAATCCAAATTGTAAGTAAGTTGAAAGAAGGCCTATCAGCTGGAAAAGGAAATTATGTTGAAACAAAGTTCTAAGCAGTTTAATCCAAATTGCCAATTTAAGTGGTTAGACCTCTGAATCAATTCAGCCAGCATTAAACATGTAGGAGGCCCCATGACATCAAAACAACATCAGAAGCAGTTAGTAACTACTATACAATAACAGAACCAGAATATAAACTGCTAATAAAATAAGGACAAACTTCTATAAACAATTAGAACTGAAGTTCCAGTTCAGTGATAACAGTTATAGAGATCTTCAGGTAAAACCCAGAATACAATACACTCCCAAATTTTTGCTTGTAGTTCAAGTTTCTGATCACAAGCCTTTTGTAAGAAATTTTCAGCTTCCTGACAGAGAACACTTAGGCTTTAAAAGGCAAAAAAGCATAGTTCGACTGCTTAAAAATGTATCACTTTTAGAGTGCAGAGACAGCTCAAAAATGTCCTAAGTAGCCACTTACCTTCCATTATTCTATTCTATTCTAGTATTCCTTGCATGTTTCCAAAAATGCGATGGAAATCAAGGAGTTTAGGCTGGAACTTAATCCCAAATAATGTCGCATATTTTAATTGCTTACATACTAGTATTGCAACAGGGGTATACTGCATTTCACATTATTGTAAAAGGAAAAATCAATTCATAAAGAATAAGGAGGGGCACACATGAGAACCACAAGTTACTTCACTGGAATTCTCCAAAGCACTTGAACAGTTGATCTTAGACATAGACAATTGAGGTTACAGGATGAAGTATGTAGGTGCTTTTAGGAGACAACTGCCCCAAGGGCATTTACATACGATAGTTTCTCATAATGCTCTTGTCCAGCAAGCTAGAGCCACACATTAGAATAGACATTAAGACAAAAAGAAAATACAGATGATCATACACGATCTGTATAGAAAACTGCTTTCAGAGCACTCCACTTACACTTTAAGTTTTACTGCAATAGAAGTGGAAAGGATGTGAAAGTAACTAACTGACATAAGTCATATTTAAGGCACTTCAGTCTCTCAGCAGTGTAGAACTAACATGCTTATCTAACTGACATAAGTCATATTTAAGGCACTTCAATCTCTCAGCAGTGTAGAACTAACATGCTTAAAGTACTTAATACTATAGTAGTGCCCAGAGCCCCCAACTGAGACAGAGGCCTCTCTTGAGTGGAGTATTTGAAAATAGTTATCAATCTGAAACAAGGAATTCCCTTTAAAAATTTTTTAAGAAGTATTCTCTTGTTTAAGCCAAATTACTATACCTATGGGCTTTACTACAGTTTCTGCTGTTTAGCTCATCTTTATTTTTCATGTCAGAAAGTAAAAGCATGCTGCATATTTTTTAAACAGAAAGCCAGAAGAAACCTAGCTCTGAAACACATATGCCCTGGACTTCTCCCTGCCTTTCAGGCCATTGGGTCTAGACAGTGACACTCCTTCATTTATCAGTATCTGTATGAAGAGGTTTGTATAACTAGACTGCTCTCTCTACAGTCTCAGAACAAAACCCCAAACCAAAGTATTAGTAGGTCTGTGGGAATTCTGAATGATCCCTCTAAATTCTCACTAAGATCAAACTCCTGAGTGTTAAAGTTCACATGGAACAGGCAGAATCTGCATGAATTTCTTACAGGCATTATCAAAACAGATGGTTTAACAATATGAGTTTCCACACAAACAATGGTATACCCAAAGATTAAGTACAATCTACTGTTGCAGGTATCAATGCTTTTTTCATCTTTTTTCTGACAAGCATTTTTTCCAAATTTCAAAAGGTGTACAGTCATATCCTGTATGATTAACTTTTGGTTATACTAACTGGCCCACTGAGACTATGTGTTACATTTTACTTATAAGATGTGTTGGATGAAAACCAGCATAATTCTCTCCAGAGTCTAAAAAAAATTTAAAATATTTTAAAATCATTAGGAAGCCATTAGTACCAAACAAAACACAAACATCCTTCAGATTGGTCTGCAGAAACCAGTAGTCAGATGTTGCATTTGCACCTGCCATGAGATGAATACATGATTTATGATCAAGTATTGACTAGAATCAAGTGCATGTTGGCACAGCAGCCACAAGCCTGCTGGGGATCAGAAGTAATCTACCTGACAAGGACATTCCTACTGCATCTTATATGGTCAGAGGCACTGGGCAGCCAACAACCACAACACCTCTGGTGACACATAATTCAGGCTTAAACTGGATTGTAAAAACAGCTCAATTTTTCTGTAGTTTGCTTCTTTCTGTGATAAACCCAGCACAAGTTATCAATGTCATAATTTCTCTACACTTGATCTTCCAACCAACCCATTTTTCCATGATCTGTCTTACATCTATTTTACAAGAAGTCTTGGTCTATTGCAATGCAATCCTGAGCAATTTAAACAGTTCCTTAGCTTCCACAGTTCAATATGGAGCTGAATAATCTGTTTCAACCAATCATCTCTGGAATCCATATGTTCATGAAGGCTTCATGAAGAACACATTTTTCCCTGTTTTCCTGTCTCAGGGAAGGTTCTCAGATTGCAAAGCTTAACTTTTCATTCTTTTAAAGAACAAACTACTCCACGAGAGATAAGAGACACCAGGTTCTACTTTCACTCAAGAAAAACAAACTAAAGCACAGTAATTCTAGTACACTTACAGAATTAACAGTATGACCATTAATGTAATAAGTATTTTACAAAGCAAAGAAAAACTGAATTTTTCTTTTACAAGTTACCTTTTTGCTACTTACCTCAGAAGTGTTAGACTCTACAAGCAAATTTCACCATGGCAAATTAATCTGAAAAAATTAAACTTTAACAAGATACTTACTGTAAATTTGCTACTTTTACTGATACAGGAATGTGGGGAAGCTGAGTGGCCCATTTCAGTGTAACATCTTGATAAACATTCAGCATTTTACTATGGTTTCCAATCAGAGTGTTTATTGTTCCTTCTTTCACTGTTAAAGATATAAAACCAATTTTAGGATGAAAGACTTTCAGAAGTCAGTACTTTTCTTCAAAGCTTACATTGCTACACTATTTTTTCCTTTCCTGTTAAGCCACTACTTCTTGCAAATTAATTTAGTATAATTAAAGTGACAAAAGTTATGAAAGCTACATTAACAATAACCAAGCATATATGTGATACATTATGGATACTAATTTCAACTGCATGCCACACAACACATGCCCCAACTTCCAAAGATTCTAGCCAGCCATGTTTGGTAACTTAAAACATGACTAACAAAGATTCATAATTGCCATGTTAACATGGCAGGAGAGATGTAACAAAACGCATGTTTAAAAATCAGCTACTTAGACTTTTCATTAAATACTTGACCTGTGAAAAACTGATTAAAGGTGTATGAGAAATCAGAAAGCATAAAATGTTAAGACAGTTATCATATTTAGAAATCCTAAAACTCTTTTAAAATAAGATGGTGCCAAAAACTTACCAGTTTTTGAAATATTAATATAGAATAGGTACTAAGAATCTGTAGTTCTACAGGGGCATCCATACAGTGTAATAAGTTAGTTTGATCTCCTAAAAGTAATTGTTTGATTTTTTAACACACAGTACAAGAGAGAAGGTCCTCAAACACTAATTTACTCCTCAAAAATCTCTCATTCTTTGATGGTTATTGCAATGTTAGCCTGAGCAAACCTATTGAAACACTAGGCAAGTACCTCAATTTCGTGATTAGAAAGTATCTACTTAGATTTTAGAAGTTATTACACTTCTCACTAACATTTAAAATCAAACTTATTTCATCCTGTCCTGGTTTGAGCCAGGATGAAGCCAATTTTTCTTTTTACTAATTTTTTTTTTCCTTCAGTAAGCTTTCTTGTAACTAGCAACAGCATGTTCTGCTAGGCTGATAAGACAGTGGAATGTTTTTCTAACTATTGAGGCTTCAAGGCTGCACCTGCACTCTGCCGGCTCAGACACTACGGGGAGATCTGTGACCCCCCCGTAGGAGGCTGAGTTAGACGGACAGCAAAATTGGCCAAAGATATTCCATTCCATATATCTACGTAAGCTCAAAGGAAGGTCAGAGATCACAGAAGACAACTTCCTTCCTTCCTTCTTCTTCTTCCCTTCTCT